GTGGGGCAAAAAAGATAGAAAATATGCCCTCGTTACCAACCGAAGATAGAGGCCTGTTTGAAGAATTGCTCTTACCGGGTGCTCAGGAAGAATGGGCGAGGCATGCCCAGGAATTGCTCCTGGCTGTCACAATGGAAAAGAAGGAAACTGGAGGTTCAGGATCAACCATTGGAGAGGGTGAATCTCTGCCGGAGCCAATGGAATGCAGTGACCCCCTGTCATCAAGCACACAGGATGCAAGCACAAGCCAGGAGTCCACTGACGAGCTTGACCTTATGGTAAGGAACATTCAGCCAATTAAACTCATGAGTCCACAGGAAATCGAAAATATGGCATCAAGGCCACTGGGTTTTGATGAAACCCCAGTGAAGGCTGAGAGCCAGAGGAACAGGGAGGTTACAAACCAGATTGAAGAGGATTTTAATTTTCATCCTTTTGGGACACGAGGTTGCGATGACAGCAGCACCCTGCCACAAGATATCCTTGCTAGTCCTAATAGTGAGGTTGACAGCAAACTCTCAAGCATATTAGCAATGGATGCCTCAAATGATACACTGGAGATTGAGAGTTCAAGTGCAAGTGACATGCTTGAGAACCTAAACAAAACTCCCCCAAAGCCAGAAAGGAGCATATCACCTGGAACATTTTTAGTGAAACTGGAACCCAAAGAGAACCAAGTATCTCAGGATAAGAGTTCACCCAATACTTTTTCTCTAAGTCAGCAGACATCAACTGTCATGCCACCTCCACTAACCACTCTGTCAACTGCAACTTCACATGCGTATTCAACCTCTGTTCCTATCTCAATATTGGATGTGAGTGACATAAATAATATTATGTCAAGGACAGTGACTACCAACAGTAGTAACTTGATACACACTCCTGTCAACAGTACAATGGTAAATCTGACTACTACAACTACAACTACTACCACATCCGTCAATATGGCTCCAAAAGGGCTACTTAAAATTCCTTCAGGTCTGGTTAGAGCAGAATTAAAGAAGCTGCCAGTTGGAATGGTTCAGCTGCGATTAGCAGCACCACCAGTTTCTTCTTCAGCTGCTGCTGTACCCACCAATGCAACTCCAACCACAACAGCAGGCGGGGCACAGTTGCCAAGACCAGCCTTCATTCTTAGACCCCTTATTACACCAGGACAGCAGATCCAGCAGCAGGCACCTCAGCCAAACAGTTTGGCACCCAAGACCATTGGACCTCCAAAAGAAAGTACTCCATTAACTCTGACTCCTCTGAAAGTAGTTGCAGTACAGCCTCCAAACAAGCCTGGTACTGCTAATGTAACAATTACTGTAGATCGTAAAGCAAATCTCACAACAGTCAACATTGTTTCATCCAATAAAAAACACACTGTCTTCAAGATCAACACCTGTGATTTAGTTAGGGCTGTTTCAAGTATTCAGGAGCCACACCTAGAACCACTGGGACTCACTCCACAGCAATTGCTACGCTCAGCACACACAGCACATAGATTAATTCAAGAAGTACATCAGGGGGCAGCCCGCCAGGCTAAGACTGGAGGGAAAGATGGTAGTTCTGGGCCTCAAAATTTTGAGATAAACCAGGTCCTTCAGGAGGTCAAGGCTCCTATATCAAGAATGCAACAGGGACAACTTGCCTTATTGAGACAGGCTGTCGTAACTGCTAGATCAACTCCTGTTACAAGTGCTTTAAGTCCAAATGCAAGTAATGCTATTGTTACATGTAACAGTGTTGGGTCATCTCTAATAGGAACTGCACCAGTTTTTGTAACTGCTTCAGCCTCGGGGCTAACAGGAAAGCCCCCAGTTACATCAGGAGCTGTCTTAACAACTGCCAAAGGCATACAGACCAGTTTAGTTACACAGAAAACCCAGATAGATTCTTCACCACCATCTACTAGTACAGATGGCAGAGCTTCACGTATACCTGTCATCACCTCACCTGACAAATCACAGTGTAAGTACTTGTGAAACTATGAGTGTGCAGTGTCTCCTTATTTTATTTGTTACTAGAAATAAGAGAAAAAGGATTATTTTTCTTTTACATTTTTTCAGCCTTTTATATTTATCATTATTTTTTCATGTTAAATCATTATACTGATCTATTTATTAGTGTTGTTGTTGCTGTTATTATTATTATTATTATTATTATTATTATTATTAATGTCATTGTCATTCATATTATTGTAATAATTACTTGATATTATCAATTATTGATTATTATTATTGTTATTATCAGTTATTGATTATTATTATTGTTATTAATACTCTTACTCTTGTTAATATTTTTTTATTACTACTACTGCTGTAATTGCCTTAATTAGGGTTATTGTGTATATAACCTAAAATATGTAAATCATAAGTAATCATTAGTATCATATCAGTTACTATTAATGTGTCTTACCACAAAGGTGTGTGAACTGCAGTGATATTACTGTAATTTGTACTTGTAGAATTAAATGTAGTATGTAGCATAATGTATAGCACACAAAGTATGCAAG